TGGCTTGTGTACGACTTTCAGAGGAGGAATGATGGAGTCGTCTTGTGGCAGAGGTACAATGAGCCGTGTCTGGGAATGACGTATGCAGCAACTCTCCAGTGGAAACTATTTAGCTGATACAACCAGATTTCAGAGACATGAACCAACAAATTGCATGTTACTAACTTAGACTGCAGTACTGCCTAACCGCTGTGCAGAACTTCAGATTTGTAGTCATGGCCTCCTCGCAGCACATTCCAGGAAAACATATCTGACTGCATGGGCTTTTCTTTAACAGATAGATCTGGAGATCTCTAGACCAGTGTTTCTCAACCTTTTTTCAGTCAAGGCACCCTTTAAAATTCTACATTGTCCCGAGGCACCCTTTAAAATGAGGCACCCCATTCTAAAATGGGGTGTCTCGATACTGTCCATAATTTTAAAAAGGGCACCCCATTCTAAAATGTGAAAAACTATTCTAATAGTTTTATATAATGCAGCAACATCCACACATGTAGGACACGTAACACTAGAGGTGATTTATTCTTCCAAAGCAAATACACATTTACACGCTGATAGTGACTAGTATTCCAATGTTTCTCTTCTCCCTCAGTTTTTCTCCATCACTGAGCTAAGGTGACCCCAGCACTGATGGAGAGGTGCAGGGGAGGGTCAAACTAGGATTCTGTGCAGGCAGCTGACATCCTCCTTATCAACTGATGATGTCATTGGTTGTCAGGATGCTGGTGGCTAGAAGGTCGTAATGGTGCACAATGAAAACCTGTGGCTTTGTGTAACTAAAAGGCAGGCTTGTTCCACCTGTTGGCTTGTATACACATTTTGGGCATTTGTTATATATTATTATTATAATACAGGATTTATATAGCGCCAACAGTTTGCTCAGCTCTTTACAATGTAACGGGAGACAATACAGCAACAATACAGTTCAATACAAGAGGGATAGGAGGGCCCTGCTCCTTGGAGCATTTTGCCAAGGCACCCCTGAAGAAACCTCAAGGCACCCCAGGGATAAATGGTAGATCCCACGACTGCTTTAAGCAGTCGTGGGATCTACCATTTATGTATGTATAGTAAAAACAAAAAAGCTACATATATTTTTAGTCTGTATGTAGCGCTTCCCCCGCAGGGGCCACTTGATAATGCTTGTCCCCAGTGGTTTCCCTGATCTTGCAAGCCTCCCGACACCTTTGACACTGGGTTCAGACATATTTCAACAGTGTAGAATAATAATGCAAGAGACACGGTTCTTTAGTAACACCTCTGTATTAGACTTGTTCAAAAGAGTAGGCCACAGAAATAATGGGTTTAGGATATACAACTCCAGTTAACACATAAATGCAGAACTTTGGTAAAATAGGAATAATCAATTAGCAATGTTTAACAGATTACACAGTCTTAAGTAGTAAGCTTCAACTGTTACTGTAACACCAGCTGCAAGAGGGGGAAGAAAAGCCTTGTTGACTTATCATCCCTCTGGACCACCAGCATCGAAATGGGGAATGCAGAGAAACCTATACTCTGCTATGAATAGATATAAGTTCCCCAATTTAAATAGCAATGGCCTTAAAAGAGAAGAGGTCCCTTTAACTAGAGATTGCAACTTGAATCCTGTGATGTCCTGTCCTTAGTCCTGTGATGTTTAAAGTTCCTGATATGGTGGTGTCTGTTGTCTTCTGCTAGCAATGGTGGGGCCCAAAAAAAATAGCGAATACTGGTAATTCAATGAAGTGGTACAATGCAAAGATGTCCTGGTAATGAGGTGTAAAAGTGTCTGCATGCAGTGTCTCTAAAGTGATGACAGAAAGAGGTTGGGCACCCCACCGACTCACCAATCCTATAGATAGCACAGCCTCCTAAGAGCAAAGTTCTTGCTCAAGCTCTTGGCTGTTTGCAGGGATGTGCGGAGTTATCACCTGAAGGCCTGTTAGCGCAGCAAGCAGAGATATCTGTGTGAAGACCAGACAATGACAGTCCCGATGCAGAGACGCTGCTACGATCCCAGTGTGGCAATTAGTGTCGCCGATGTGCTGAACTGATGTGCAGAGTCCCGAATCAGTAGGCCAGCAATCTGTCTCTGGAGGAGACCGGCAGCCCCTCTTTGTTCAGCTCTGAATCCCACACCAAGAGAGAGAGACAGTCCCTTGCAGGAAATATATCTGATTTTCCAGCATTCTTCCCATTCCCCAGCTTTCAGTTGTAGGTCAATCAGCACTCAGGAATACAGGATGTAATGGCTGTAAGACTACAGGTCCCAAGATCCTCTACAGTCAGAAAACTGAATCCACTCTGCTAACAGGAAGTGATGTAACAGTCCCAGTACTGGGCACTAGGGAGAATGAATTAATCATAGACTCATCGTAAATGTCCCAGAATGGCATAATGATATAGCTGTCACCTGGCTACACGTACAAAGTACATCCCTGGGAACTCTCAGGAATGACCTCTGACCCCCGAGACACGGACAATTTTAGCCCTATTTTCAGAATGAATACTTAAAGAACGAAAGGCAAATCTTTTTTTTTTCATTTTGGAAAGAGCAAGGGTGGGTATTACCCATGATAGGTTTTTTTTTCTTCATCTCTGTGTCATCTAGGAGATTTCTTTTCACTTCCTGTCCCATAGCCAAATGGAAATGGAATTTCATGTTGTCACCAGGACTAGTGACCTATATATATATGATAAATGTGAGCGCAATGTATAAATGACCAAAGAAAGCAGCTAGCATATAAAGGTAAAACCTCAACACCTCAAAGTAACAAATATACAGTAAATAAATATGCAGTGCTAAAAAAGTATAAATCCTATATAGGCAAATGCATAAACGTAAAGAATGAGGGGCCGGTCTAGGGCTGCAGGGTCATCAGGCTCAGCAGTGGACACTCAAGATAATGTCTCACACCGCTCACAGATTCATCAAACAGCACTTGGACATTGGCTAAACGCTCCCAGATGGCTCCACCTTATGAGGCCAGAGGTCCTACAGATGTAGATTCAGTATTCTTGTTCATCTGTGGCTCCACAATACAAGGCGTAGTCTTCTACAACGATAACCTGCTATCCAGCTGCCACACCACGATCGATCTCTAGACCTAGAGAACGATCGTGGTGTGGCAGCTGGGATAGCAGGCTATCTGCTGAGCCCAGGGGTGGACTGACAAATCATGGTGCCCCCGGGCAATAGGGGATCATGGGGCCCCTGTGTCCTTGCCCAAACTAAAAAAAACCTATGAAAAAGGTACCAGGGGCATTTCATGGGTCCCCCTAGTGACCCTGGGCCCTCGGGCAGTGCCCGAGTTTCCAAATGGTCAGTCCGCTCCTGGCTGAGCCTGATGACCCTGCAGCCCTAGACCAGATCCCGATGACCCCATCATTAAGGATTTACATATAAGGCGCATATTATATGTACTTCTGGTAAGTGCATCACTTTACCAGATTCTGGCACCAATATTGAAAGTCACGAAGCACGGATTACCATACTTTATGGACATCATTATTTCATGATTGGACTCACTAACACTGTCACGGTACTATAGTTACGTCATCCATAGACGTGATTTCACTGCACTAACTTTTGCGCTCACATCAGCGCCCCCTCATTCTTTATGTTTATACATTTGACTATATAGGATTTTTATACTTTTTAGAACTAGCGACCTGGTTGGAATATTATCCCTTGATTAATGTTTTGAGAACAACCCAAAATCTGAGATTTGACCTCATTAGAATATTATCTCTTGAATAATGTTTTGAGAACAACCAAAAATTTGAGATTTTCTTCTACTTTCACTTTCAATAATAATGGTAATTAGGACAAATAGAGAGGGATAATCTCCTTAACAGGGGCACAGACTGCAGTAAAAACCCGAAAGGTGTTCCAATCTCTCTCCACTCTGTCCAGATCTAAAAAAAAAAGGTTTGCCTTTTGTTATACTTTAACCCCTTCCCACCCACTTAGGCGTCCCTTGAAATAGTTTGGAATGACTGGGCGGGGAATCGGAAATCATGTGATTACAGTTCCAGTGGTCACATGATTGGAAGTCGGTCTCACTGGCTACTGATCTTTCTGTACACCAATTATTGTCTTTTGGGCCCTATTCACACATGGTGATTTGAAATCTCTGGCAGAATTGCTGCGATTCTGCTCATGATTCCAAATTGTGGTAAAAAGTGACAATTTTGTGTGCCATAATTCTTCATGGCACCCCAAACGCAGTGCAATTTTGCAGGTCCTGGAAGAGTGGTTAAGCAGGCTCTGCATGCTGTGTGGCCCCTGTACCGCCATGTACATGAAGCCTTTAACTATAATTAATCTATAAGAAAATCTCACATTTTTGGGTTGTCACCAGAACAGGTATATAGGGGAATTCTTCCAACGGGGACACTAGTTCTGGTGACAACCAGCGATTCCCTCACTTTAGAGGGATTTCCTCTTACTTCCTGTTTTAGCTATGGGGCAGGAAGTGAGGGGAAATCTCTGCAATGGGACACAGGTGGCAAAAAACTGGCAGGGGTTATACCCCTTTAGGCTACTTTCACACCTATCCAAGCTGCGGCTGATGAGTTTTTCCGGTGCATTTTGCAGTGCAGGTTACGTATTTCTCCACACGTTTTTAATGCATTTTGCGTTTTTGGGATGTGTTAATGTTGTTGGATGCTGTCATGAAGGAAAATGCACCAAAAACGCATGTATATGCGTTTTTCATGTGTTTCAATTTAAGTCAATTGAACCTAATACGCAACCTACTGACGACAAAAACTCCCTGACCCTTTCTAAAAAACTGCACTGGTTGAAAAAGCACATATGTGAATGTGACCTATAGGAAATCATGTTCAATGGACTGTAGTGTGTGTCTGCAAATCTGAAAACGCTCTGCAAAACTAATAGGTGTGAATCCAGCCTAAATTTTACTTTAGGTTGAATAATATATCTGATGCTAGTTCTGCTTTAACAAAAACGTAAAGTGTTTCTAAACCCACAACAGTAAAATCAGTCTGTATATGCAGTAAAGCATGCTTGTTTTACTCACTGTGGAACCTAAGGGGTTAATCCTCTGCATTGTGTAAAAAGGCTGTTTGACCCTGTCTTCTCTGATCCTCCCCTTCTTCCAGTGTCCCCCTCTTATCTCCTGATAAGACAGAGTGTGGAATCACTCTGCACATGCTCAGTTTGGTGTGTATTGCTAGAGAGTTTTTTTCTTAAAATTCTTTGAACAATGCATGTGATCAGTACAGGGCGAATCAGCACTCTCCAGACAGAGGCCAGGGGTTCTGCATTATCCTAGAGCAGAATGAAAACTCCTCCTACAAGCTGTAACCAGTACTCTGCTGGACACTGATAGAAGTCACAAGACTGCTCTAACTGCTGATGAGAAAAGATATTTAGAAGTTTATATCTACTAAAATAATTGCACTTCCATGTTCTGTGTACTGTGGGAGACCAGATATAGAGAATGCAGGGTCCGGGGTTTAGTAACACTTTGAATAGAACTGACCCAAAACCACTGAGTGTTTCCTGCTGTCCTCAACGTTCTTCATTGCTACCACTTGGGAATCCTGTTGCAGAAATAATGATCATCCACTCAATCAATTCACCACGTGCTGGCTGGTGCACACTAGGGGAGCAGCTAATTAAAAGCATGGACAACACAACATATCCTAGCACTACGCACCACATTTTGTCAAAGAGCACCTGTCTAACCTGCAGGCACACTTTGGCAAATAGACGTGAAAGCTGAAGACCTCTTCAGTATGCCTAGGTCTCCTGTGACCCAACTCTAATCAGTTAAAGCATCAACAGATATACTACAAAATATTCACAAGTTTATCTGTACAGTTCATTTGTGCCTCTGCCCATCAACCAGAATTTGAATCTGCAATGGTTGATTTGTAAGGGGTAGGTCTGCGTGCTTTTTGAATGCAGCCTTGCCCCCCTCCCCCACGCAAGGCTGCGATTCAGATGACCAGTTTGAAAAGCTGTTTCACGCTAGTTGGGTTAAAAGCACTGACGCCAGCAGAAGAGACACATGGTGGAGGGAGTCTGGGTCAGGATACGGCTGCCTCAAGCCTCTGTCTGCAGGTAGAGAAAGGTCATCCAAAGTGGACCTTGCATGAAAATCCAAGGTCCTCTTATTAGGTTGCCTCCACGCCCAGAATATTAGTATATAATTACATGTTGGATTAATATACAGGATTTATATAGCACCAACAGTTTGTGCAGCACTTTACAAAATAAAGAGAGGCAGTACTGGTACAAGTAGATGTTACAGGGTGTAGTTAATATATTATATTATATTTTTGGTTGGTACCGTAGCTATAGATTTATAGTACTGGTACAATACAATTTAAGACGAGAGGGTTAGGAGGACCCTGTTCATGAAAGCTTACAATCTAAAGCAGGGATCTCCAATATTTTTAAATGATGTGCAATTTTACTATCCTTCAGACTTTATTGGGGCCTGATAGTGGCCAGTTGGAGTAGAAAAATCCCCAGTGTCAGTGGGAGTAATAGTACCCCATCATTGGTGTCAGGGGTAGGAAGAGTGTCTCATCGTTGGTGTCAGAAGGAGTAATAGTGCCTCACCATTGGTGTCAGAGGTATGAAGAGTGCCCTATCATTGGTGGAATAGTGTCTCATATCATCGTGTTGGCGGGTAGCAGGATGCCTCACGTGTGGCCATAGCGAGTAGCCAAGCTGACCTCCAACATAACTTCTAGGTGATACAGAACTTTTGCCCAAGACTCTTCCTGATATGTGGGTGGCAGTTCCCTCTCCACCCTCAGGGCTGTGTGGCACCCCTCACTCCCAGGGGTCCTGTTTGCTGGCTTCACCTCTCTCAGGTCTGACAGACAGGGGACATCAGTAAAACTCTCTCACTCTAAGGCAAACCGAGACTCAGTGTAGTTTAAGTTCTTTTACTGAAGAACCTCAAATATTAACATGGCTCTTTCGAGTTGCAGACCCCAACACAGTTCCACATGCAGCACATAAGGAACATTTGATCTTATACCCTGCCAAAAGATGCTCACTCCCTGTAGCTCTGCTACCCTTCTCTTTCTTGGATAATGACGGGAGGAACCTAGGGGTGAACCAACTACTGAGGTCTTCCTCTGGACCTGAACAGACCCACTGGGACTCTCCTTCTCCCTCAGGGCTATGTTGGGGAACTCCAGGCACCCTGCACTCCCCCAGAGGAGCAAGTGCAGTAGCACAGCAGCTAGAAGTTGTTCTTCCTCTTCCTCTCCAGTCTGACCCACCTCCTTCTCAGATCCTAACTAAACTGCCAACCTTTTCCAAGAGGGAGAAGGCACCTTAAAGTGGACCTGCTCTAACACCTACCTACAAGTGGGAGAAATAATGTTTTAAGGGCTGGATAAATGTAAGCTTCTGGCCTGCAAACCACAGTTTGGAGACCACTGATCTAAAGGAATGGGAAACTGATACAAAAGGTAATAACTGTGAGGGGATGAGTTGTTAAAAAATGTAAAATTCAGTTGTTAGCTAGAGGTGGGATAGGCTTCCGTGAAGAGTTTTCAGGAACTGACAAAAGGTGGACAGAGTTGTGAATGGTTTTGTGTTTTGTTATTATTTTGACTTTTATTTGTTGGGTGATTGGAAACCAGTGTAGGGTTTGGCACAGAGGTGTAGCAGACATGATTAGTAAGACAGGCTAAAAGTACTATGTTAAAGAGAGAAACAAAAACAAAATTGGAAGAAATACATATAATACTCATCTTACACCCTGACTTCTGGTAGCTTATTGTCAGTCAGAGTTACATCACTAGCCCTTGTCCCAGGGTTCTAGGAAAGTTGAGTAATCAATATCTATTGATAATGCTGTCCTTTACAGGACTGCAACCTCATGGAGGTTGGGATGTTAAGCTTTCCAAGATTCCAGAAGGGAGACAATTGATGTAACCTTTCACTAGGTGAGGACACCGGAAGTTTGGGTGTAAGGCAAGGATGTATACCTTTTTTCACTTTAACCTAGTGTGTTTTAACTGTGTGTGTGAGGGGCTATCTAATAAGGAAACCTTACATTTTTATGTGAGGTCCACTTTATGCACAGGCTCTCTAGAGCGGATATACAGGTAAAATAAAAAAGTTAGGTTTCGGATTACTGATTAAAGTAATCGAAAAACATGGATAAGTGCAAGGATCTCATGGTTGCCTTGCAGATTGTCTCCGCTAGAGCTCTTCTATGTGCTTCCAACAAGATAAGATTCCCCTTGTGGAATGCACAGTAATCTTTGGCAGATCCAACCCATTAGCACTGTAAGTACATTGAATGATCTAGACGACTCAAGCAGACATTGTCCATGATAATGACTCTTTGGTCTGGTCAGATATACAAACAGCCTTTCTAACTGTCTAAAGAAAATCATAGCTTGAGTATACACTCTCAGTGTCCTGTAGACATCAAGTTCATGTAAATTGTCTGGGTTAGTCTTGTCTGTGAATGCTGATAAAACCCAGTTTTGATTAATGTCAATATAGCACTACGATGAGAGCTACTGATTTTGGGTTCCCCTTATCCCTGCACAGCCAGGCAACACACAGTTTTCAACTTTGTTTTGGAGTCAGTAACCAGTTCATGGGATTTTTTTTGTTTTGTTTTGTTTTATTTAGAGGAAACCAGCTTTGATGGGGTATAGGGGTATATGGGATGCCCAAATTGACTTGAAACAATAACTCTGAGGACAAGTTTCTAAATTCTGTACAAAAGGATGGATACTGGACTTTCTACTCCCTCTGGAGTTGCATCAGTCTCTTGATGGATCAGTAACACAGCCTCTGTAAGGAGCACTTGGTCCCCTCTTTATATGAACCTCTTCAGACCCCAGATAGAACCTGCCCATCCACCTGACTGTCTTGATGAGTATCCCAGAGCAAGAGATTCTAGAACAGACTTGCACCACTGCCCCAGGGAGAACCCATTGGTATGGCACCTTGCAGCCCTCTTCCTTGTAGGCCCTGGGGTTGTAGAGGTACTCACACTGTCCTTGTGTCCTGTAGATTTGGGCAAACTACTTTCAGGCTTTTCGCTGGGCTAGTTTTCTTCCAGGCTAGCAGGCTGTTCTTCCTCAGGGACTGCAGGGCAGTGGAGCTCCCTGTCAATGTCCTTCTCCCATTCTTGCAACATTCAGCCTGGAGGCAGAGCCCCCCTTCTCTGGGGTTCCCTCTCAGGCTACACAGCAGTACACTCAGCACCCCATCTTCCACTCAACTCTCCTACTGGCCAGGCTCTTGCATATTTATGGGCTGATTAGGCCACCTTGCCAGGCCTCCTGCCTGGGGATTAGCCAGATTCCCATAAAAATGCAGAGCAGCACCTTCTGGCTTCCACTTACTAGGTTTTAGAAACTTCTCCAAGCTTCTAGAACCAGATGGAGATACCAGAGGCCTGACCTGTAGATCCCTTTAGTCTGACCTAAAGTAAACCCATTAACTCACACCCAGGCTTCTAACAAGCCTCTAACTATACCACAAACTATGTACACCAGAGGGCTCTACATCAAATTTTAAGGCAACTTATGGGATCAATCTCAGTACTGAATATAATTTGACAAATGGCTTAGAGAAGTCCAGTTGGGATAGTTCATTCTCTAAGGTGTGTAACTCCAAGACCTATTGGGCCAAGATTATTGCAACCAAAAGCAGCCTAGAATGTCAAGTCTGTGTTGGTACAATTATCATCCAGAGCAAACAGCAGCTCAGAAAGGTACTTGAGGACCAGAGACAGGTTCCATTGAGGAAAGAGACAGGTCCTATTAAGGAAACAAACTACACTTTTGTCTAGCCTAAATGTTAACAGCAAAAGAGGTTTCATGGTCTGGTCCACCCCTAAAGGCTCTGCTTCATGTCTGAATACAGTCCATTTGGCTGGGATATGAACTCTGAATCCACTGAGAAAGAAATCCTGTCTGGAACTGACAAATGTGCCTGTGGGCCCTACGCACATTTGGTTTGCAACTGGAAAGCATGCCCAGGGAATAGGACATTGGCAAAGATCAGGTGTCAAAGATTTGAAGTAGATGAAGAAGATATTGTGATTGGGAAGAGAAATGGTTCTCCTGGCTGTATTGAACAGGGCTTTGAAATTAACCAGCTTCTTGGTGGCATTTGTTGACTCTTCTCCGGATTTATAAACCATCCAAACTATAGGAAAGTCAATAGCAAGAATTCAGTCTGTGTTTGAAGGACTTCTCTGCAGTGAGGAAA